TAAAATTCAGAATATTGACTTAAAACATTTCAGATTGGAATTATTGTTAGATGGTGGCCCCAGTAGCAAAATGTGACATTACAACCAGCTTTGTTAGACATAACATCCAGACAGAAGGAAAAAAGAAGCAAAGCTCTGAGAGCTGTTTATAAGGATTCAGGGCATCCCTAGACATGGGAGCCATTCCTGGTTCAAGGCAGGGATCAGGGTCCCTGACAGCCTCTAGCAGGGTAGAGTTTGATAAACCATGATGCTCAGGATGTCAAGGGGTTAGCCATTATCTTGACCCCTTCCTCACCAAAAGATTTTAGTTTTGTCTTTTGGGAAACAAGATGTCACTAGGGAAAAAAAGATTTGCCTTACAACTTTGCTGGAACACATCAGTTTGGTGATGTTTGGGACACCAGTATTATTTTTGAGAAGGTGCATAAAACCAAAGTAAATTATTCTCTATGTAGAACATTATTTACTAGTAACATTTGTTTGGATGTATTAGCTTTGACAATTATTACCAGTAAATATTGGTTTTATTTAAAACTGGAAATCCAGTTTATAAATAGGATAGTCAATGTATCTGTCCTTTTCCCATGTAAGAATAGTTTAAATTTATGCATACCTTATTTTCCTCTCCTGATGCCACAGGGTTGGGGGTGGAGGGGTATCTTTGAGTCAACAACTGACAAAATGTCTTCTCCAAATTTAAAAATTGAGAAGCAGCACTTTAATTCTACACCATTTTAGTGCATGTATTAGTTTTAATAATGATTTTTGGTGCATGCCTTTGGGCTTATTCAAAAGTGTACAATAAGAAAGTGTATTTCCTTTCTTAGAAAGGAGATGTTTTTCTACTTTGCAACATGTGATTATAAAAATCTTCCTCTGTGGGAAGATTAACCATGTATTGAACTACTGAAAAGTATATATTTTTAGATATACAGAAGGAATCTACATGGAGCAGCATTCAGGCCTATATAGAAGTCATAGCATTCTGTATAGGACCAAAAAGGAAATAACATCAAATAACACTTAAACAGACTTTGTTGGGTAGGAATACCTTTAGATCATGCATTGACTTCCAAAAAGAAAATACCACAGAAGTTTGCTGAAAACTTTTGTTGTTTGAATTTTCTCTGTCAGTGTATTTAGCCCAAATACAACAGCTTTGGGTTAACACATACAGAAGAATAAAAAAAAAAAACAAAAGCTAACTAAATAGATCAGTCTGGTTTACCAATACAGCTTGACTGAAATAAGTAAACTAATCACTTGCATCATGAAAAACTGTCCAACTCCTCTAAGGTTTTGACAAAATAACCTTGGCTGATGTGGGAAGACTCCCACTTTGATTTCTGACCTGACAGTGAAGATTCATGCTTGACATGATTTCAAACCTGACAGTGTCTGTTTAAGGAGCTATGGTACAGTTTGCTAATTCAATCCCAGATACCTGTTGATTACCTGTGAGATCTAGAGTCCAAAGTAGGCAGCAGCCATATATCCCTGAGTGCTCTGTGCCCATCAGATCTCTTAAAGTAAGCAGAGTTGGGACAGGTCACAGCTCAGATGAGTGAGCTTAGGTGCTGTGGGCAGCCCTGGATTTGAGAATTGTATCTGCTTTCTTGGGGAGTCATCATTGAACTAGTGTCCAACATGGTGTTACTGTAAATGCTCTCTCTTGGAGGAGGCCCAGAGCACACATCCTAAGCACCTGTGGTACTCAGAGAGGGGGTGCTAACTCTGATGCCCTGGCCAAATTCCAGTTTAGGGATGTGGGTCTTCTTCTTGCCATTCTAATTGGAAATGTGCATCGCTTCCATTTTCCCTGTTGATCTCAGTGCAAACTGCACTAGTCCGTTTCTTTGCCTGGTCCCAAGTCTCTAAGATGCTGGTGTGTATTACATGGGCCAAGTTCATGTCTTATCCTAATGCACAAGAGTTAAGAAATGAGTGAGCTTGGTGTCAAAAGTGCCCTGTAGTTGGAGGGTAAACTCTTGCAATCGTTTGGGGATGAAATTGGCCCTCATTTAGCATAAGTTGGGGAGTGTGCACTGGCCAGAGGCTTACAGCCACACGGTGTGAACTGAAATCTATTTTCCTTCTTTTCTTATAGCATGTTGAGAAAATCTGTTGGGTTTTCAGCAGTCAGGGAAGGCCGGAGTTCTGCAGCTTTAATCTGGGTAACTGAGGCTGGTTTGAGCAAGACTTTGGTTAATTAACTAGGTTCTCAGATGCCACAGACTCCGTGAAAAGTCACCATTATTTTCAATGGTTGTGATAAAATTTCCCCCAGTAGCCATTATTTTAAGATTATATTGCAGAGTTGCTTTATTTGAGCTTTTCATGTATACACAATCCCAAACTGGAAGAAGAAAAAAAAGGAATCCTGCTGTGAAAGGTATATATTACTCTAGATTTTTCTTACTGTAAATATTGTAAGATTGTAATACTGTCGATATTTTATTAACCAACAAATGTTACTCTATGTGAATTCAGACTTATTTTAAATGTGCTTCTTATTTACTGTGTGTGGTCCCTGTTGCTGACAGTATTAAGTTATATTCTGATGTAAGATTAACTTTATTAAAGAATGTAAACATTAATGTTTCCTTATGGGAAAACAAATAAAGTATAAAGAAGACAATTCTTTTCATTAAAATATACTGTGTATTTACACTTGCTAGACCCAGCACCACTCATAAATTTAGTACACTGTTCAGAATTTTAGTTAACACAGCTGACATGGTTGTGCTTGTTTGAAAGTCTATGAGTAGGTATTGTTGGAATATAAAAAGTTTGTATTTGTCTGCTGCAAATCATAATCTTGAAATTTCTAATCAAGTTTGTAAAATTTTTATAGTAAAACATTTTAATGACAATTTAAAAATTTATCTTCTCTAAAGAATGGTCAAAACAATATCCTTTCAGAAATAGAATTGTTCTTTAATATCTTTCCAAAATGACTTTGGTTAAAAGGACCAGATGTATATTAGTTAAAATTTAGGACAAAGTTGTGATATTCTTTGAGTTTACAAGTTAATCCTTATTGGAGATGTGCCAATTATACAGTAGAATATCATTAATTTGCACTGTTTGGGGACCCCATTAAGAATGAATGCTAATTTTGCCAACTAAGAAGTAAGCAAATGCAATTTAAACAGTAAATTTGAGCATTCTGTATTAAATATGTGCAGTTATTATCACATGAAGAAGCGCAGTGTGTCGGGCTGTAATATAACCATACTTGCTGTCATGTTCTCCCATCTCAGTGCTGGGAACTCACCATGTGGAAACCAAGCAAATGTGTTGTGCATCAGCCGGCTTGAGTTTGTTCAATATCAAAGCTGAAACTAGCGAGGTCTGCTGTACTGCTTATTGAAGTATTGTGATTCTTTTAGGCATTGATTCTTACAAAATATATACTGTAACAGTATACTTTGTACAGATTTAAATTTTATTTGAAAAAATGAAATAAAGTAGGCAAAAAAATAAAGATGTTTATTTTTCATGTGACTATATAAACAGATCAGTCTCTTGTTTCAGTGCCTTTGCGGGAAGGGGGGCCTTTTTGCTCTTGAATTTTTTTTCTGGTAGATGGAAATCATTTTTAGTACCCAGTAGCAAGTGTAATTACCTGAACATTAACTGACTGCAAGCATTGTGTGCTCTCTCACACTAGAAAATTCTATTCTATTTTAAAACAAATTTGTTTTTAAATATTTTATATGAATGGCTTCCCTATCTTGCTTCTTGAGTCAGTTTTTAAAGTTCTCTGATTGTGGGATGGTTAACCTAACTATCACAAACAAAAAGAAAGGAAAACTTTTCCCATAGAAATGTCCTTTTCCTATGCAGTTTTTTGTTTTCTGTCTTTTTAAAGCTGCAGTTGGTCTGGGGTAGTGGAAGGGTTAAAAAGAGTACATAACATACCTTTTGTATTTCTTACAATTAAACTATTGGTAGCAAATAAAAATAAATTCAGCAATTAAAAAGAGTACATGACAAAAGATAAAGGGACCCCTCTGCAGAAAATAAGGCTGTGCTTGCAAAGAAGATCCTCCCAAAACTGCTTTTCTAGTGAGTGGAGTGGCAGACAGTGGGTGAAGTTACCAATAAAAATGTGGTACGGGAGTGACCCTTCACGGGAGTTTTAATGGGACTTTCTCATAGAAGATCAGATGATCTGACCAAAAAGAACCTTCCCAGTTTTGGTCTCTAAGTCAGAAACCAGCAGAGGCCTCAGGTATGTTTTCCTCAACCTTTGAAATAGGGTTGGAATTTGTATTTGTGGCTTTCTCCTGATTTCACCTTTTCTGATGCTGTCTCTTGCCTTCAGGCTGGATATGAAAAGGCTTAGAGCAAGTAGTTGCAAAAACAAGGTTCCTGCAAAATCACACTGTGGAGAAAATTGTAATGTTGTTCCAATGTGTGTGACAGTGGTTATTTTGTAAGTGTTAGATAGCCACAGAAACGTCTCATGCTTACAATAGCACAGTTGCAGGCTTCCATAGGTGAATCCCAAGGAAGTTTTGGTGGTTCTCGTGTTTTGCTAAAATGGTCCTCCATAGGAACAGCAAACTAGCTGTTGGGTTAGCTTTCACATCTGCCAACCACCAAATCCAATAAAAGTAATGTAGAAATGTTGCTCTATGAAAATTTAAAACTGCGAGTGTTTTGGGGAGGTCAGTGGGGTGCTAAGAAGCTCTAGTTTTCCCTAAGTTCTGCAGTGCCTCTGATGTTGGGGGACACACAGAGAAGAGGTGGGTACTTTCTGAAGAGGAGACTAGATTCCCCTCTATCCTCAAGGTGGGATCAAACCCCTGGGTCCTTGCCCAAGACGAGGGCTCCCTTGTACAGGAACTTGTGGTGGAAACCTAGCCATGATTTGTGGTGAGTATAAGGGAATGAAAAGTTAGAAGCCAGGCCCCTTCCTCACTACCCTATGTCCTTAATCTTTTAAAGACTTTAAATGGGACTATGATTATAAATATGCCCACTACATGGAGCAGCATTCAGGCCTATATAGAAGTCATAGCATTCTGTATAGGACCAAAAAGGAAATAACATCAAATAACACTTAAACAGACTTTGTTGGGTAGGAATACCTTTAGATCATGCATTGACTTCCAAAAAGAAAATACCACAGAAGTTTGCTGAAAACTTTTGTTGTTTGAATTTTCTCTGTCAGTGTATTTAGCCCAAATACAACAGCTTTGGGTTAACACATACAGAAGAATAAAAAAAAAAAACAAAAGCTAACTAAATAGATCAGTCTGGTTTACCAATACAGCTTGACTGAAATAAGTAAACTAATCACTTGCATCATGAAAAACTGTCCAACTCCTCTAAGGTTTTGACAAAATAACCTTGGCTGATGTGGGAAGACTCCCACTTTGATTTCTGACCTGACAGTGAAGATTCATGCTTGACATGATTTCAAACCTGACAGTGTCTGTTTAAGGAGCTATGGTACAGTTTGCTAATTCAATCCCAGATACCTGTTGATTACCTGTGAGATCTAGAGTCCAAAGTAGGCAGCAGCCATATATCCCTGAGTGCTCTGTGCCCATCAGATCTCTTAAAGTAAGCAGAGTTGGGACAGGTCACAGCTCAGATGAGTGAGCTTAGGTGCTGTGGGCAGCCCTGGATTTGAGAATTGTATCTGCTTTCTTGGGGAGTCATCATTGAACTAGTGTCCAACATGGTGTTACTGTAAATGCTCTCTCTTGGAGGAGGCCCAGAGCACACATCCTAAGCACCTGTGGTACTCAGAGAGGGGGTGCTAACTCTGATGCCCTGGCCAAATTCCAGTTTAGGGATGTGGGTCTTCTTCTTGCCATTCTAATTGGAAATGTGCATCGCTTCCATTTTCCCTGTTGATCTCAGTGCAAACTGCACTAGTCCGTTTCTTTGCCTGGTCCCAAGTCTCTAAGATGCTGGTGTGTATTACATGGGCCAAGTTCATGTCTTATCCTAATGCACAAGAGTTAAGAAATGAGTGAGCTTGGTGTCAAAAGTGCCCTGTAGTTGGAGGGTAAACTCTTGCAATCGTTTGGGGATGAAATTGGCCCTCATTTAGCATAAGTTGGGGAGTGTGCACTGGCCAGAGGCTTACAGCCACACGGTGTGAACTGAAATCTATTTTCCTTCTTTTCTTATAGCATGTTGAGAAAATCTGTTGGGTTTTCAGCAGTCAGGGAAGGCCGGAGTTCTGCAGCTTTAATCTGGGTAACTGAGGCTGGTTTGAGCAAGACTTTGGTTAATTAACTAGGTTCTCAGATGCCACAGACTCCGTGAAAAGTCACCATTATTTTCAATGGTTGTGATAAAATTTCCCCCAGTAGCCATTATTTTAAGATTATATTGCAGAGTTGCTTTATTTGAGCTTTTCATGTATACACAATCCCAAACTGGAAGAAGAAAAAAAAGGAATCCTGCTGTGAAAGGTATATATTACTCTAGATTTTTCTTACTGTAAATATTGTAAGATTGTAATACTGTCGATATTTTATTAACCAACAAATGTTACTCTATGTGAATTCAGACTTATTTTAAATGTGCTTCTTATTTACTGTGTGTGGTCCCTGTTGCTGACAGTATTAAGTTATATTCTGATGTAAGATTAACTTTATTAAAGAATGTAAACATTAATGTTTCCTTATGGGAAAACAAATAAAGTATAAAGAAGACAATTCTTTTCATTAAAATATACTGTGTATTTACACTTGCTAGACCCAGCACCACTCATAAATTTAGTACACTGTTCAGAATTTTAGTTAACACAGCTGACATGGTTGTGCTTGTTTGAAAGTCTATGAGTAGGTATTGTTGGAATATAAAAAGTTTGTATTTGTCTGCTGCAAATCATAATCTTGAAATTTCTAATCAAGTTTGTAAAATTTTTATAGTAAAACATTTTAATGACAATTTAAAAATTTATCTTCTCTAAAGAATGGTCAAAACAATATCCTTTCAGAAATAGAATTGTTCTTTAATATCTTTCCAAAATGACTTTGGTTAAAAGGACCAGATGTATATTAGTTAAAATTTAGGACAAAGTTGTGATATTCTTTGAGTTTACAAGTTAATCCTTATTGGAGATGTGCCAATTATACAGTAGAATATCATTAATTTGCACTGTTTGGGGACCCCATTAAGAATGAATGCTAATTTTGCCAACTAAGAAGTAAGCAAATGCAATTTAAACAGTAAATTTGAGCATTCTGTATTAAATATGTGCAGTTATTATCACATGAAGAAGCGCAGTGTGTCGGGCTGTAATATAACCATACTTGCTGTCATGTTCTCCCATCTCAGTGCTGGGAACTCACCATGTGGAAACCAAGCAAATGTGTTGTGCATCAGCCGGCTTGAGTTTGTTCAATATCAAAGCTGAAACTAGCGAGGTCTGCTGTACTGCTTATTGAAGTATTGTGATTCTTTTAGGCATTGATTCTTACAAAATATATACTGTAACAGTATACTTTGTACAGATTTAAATTTTATTTGAAAAAATGAAATAAAGTAGGCAAAAAAATAAAGATGTTTATTTTTCATGTGACTATATAAACAGATCAGTCTCTTGTTTCAGTGCCTTTGCGGGAAGGGGGGCCTTTTTGCTCTTGAATTTTTTTTCTGGTAGATGGAAATCATTTTTAGTACCCAGTAGCAAGTGTAATTACCTGAACATTAACTGACTGCAAGCATTGTGTGCTCTCTCACACTAGAAAATTCTATTCTATTTTAAAACAAATTTGTTTTTAAATATTTTATATGAATGGCTTCCCTATCTTGCTTCTTGAGTCAGTTTTTAAAGTTCTCTGATTGTGGGATGGTTAACCTAACTATCACAAACAAAAAGAAAGGAAAACTTTTCCCATAGAAATGTCCTTTTCCTATGCAGTTTTTTGTTTTCTGTCTTTTTAAAGCTGCAGTTGGTCTGGGGTAGTGGAAGGGTTAAAAAGAGTACATAACATACCTTTTGTATTTCTTACAATTAAACTATTGGTAGCAAATAAAAATAAATTCAGCAATTAAAAAGAGTACATGACAAAAGATAAAGGGACCCCTCTGCAGAAAATAAGGCTGTGCTTGCAAAGAAGATCCTCCCAAAACTGCTTTTCTAGTGAGTGGAGTGGCAGACAGTGGGTGAAGTTACCAATAAAAATGTGGTACGGGAGTGACCCTTCACGGGAGTTTTAATGGGACTTTCTCATAGAAGATCAGATGATCTGACCAAAAAGAACCTTCCCAGTTTTGGTCTCTAAGTCAGAAACCAGCAGAGGCCTCAGGTATGTTTTCCTCAACCTTTGAAATAGGGTTGGAATTTGTATTTGTGGCTTTCTCCTGATTTCACCTTTTCTGATGCTGTCTCTTGCCTTCAGGCTGGATATGAAAAGGCTTAGAGCAAGTAGTTGCAAAAACAAGGTTCCTGCAAAATCACACTGTGGAGAAAATTGTAATGTTGTTCCAATGTGTGTGACAGTGGTTATTTTGTAAGTGTTAGATAGCCACAGAAACGTCTCATGCTTACAATAGCACAGTTGCAGGCTTCCATAGGTGAATCCCAAGGAAGTTTTGGTGGTTCTCGTGTTTTGCTAAAATGGTCCTCCATAGGAACAGCAAACTAGCTGTTGGGTTAGCTTTCACATCTGCCAACCACCAAATCCAATAAAAGTAATGTAGAAATGTTGCTCTATGAAAATTTAAAACTGCGAGTGTTTTGGGGAGGTCAGTGGGGTGCTAAGAAGCTCTAGTTTTCCCTAAGTTCTGCAGTGCCTCTGATGTTGGGGGACACACAGAGAAGAGGTGGGTACTTTCTGAAGAGGAGACTAGATTCCCCTCTATCCTCAAGGTGGGATCAAACCCCTGGGTCCTTGCCCAAGACGAGGGCTCCCTTGTACAGGAACTTGTGGTGGAAACCTAGCCATGATTTGTGGTGAGTATAAGGGAATGAAAAGTTAGAAGCCAGGCCCCTTCCTCACTACCCTATGTCCTTAATCTTTTAAAGACTTTAAATGGGACTATGATTATAAATATGCCCTCTGGTCATTTTGGAGAGCAAGAAGTGAAGTTCTTCTGCAGCATTACAGGGGGAACATCCCAGACTTGAGGTAGGTCTTCAACTATGGAGCAAGCCTCACTGGGGCCAAGAGAGCCTATGAAGAAAGGGGCCCAGCATATTCAACAGAACTATCTGTCATTTTTTTTAGTTCTTTCTTTTCTAAAGTGATGTAATTGGCAATCTCTTCCATCCCCACCTCCAATTTATTTTCTCTAACATTTGTTTAACCGTGAAGTATATCATGTACTTTGGCTATTTTGCATGGTTTTTAGAAATCTCTTTGTTCCTAGTTCTGGTAACAGTTTCCTTCCAAGGAGACTTTTCGATTTTGGGTACTGGGTTATAGAAGACATTCTGCTCATTCAGGATCAGAGGAGAGAAATCCTTTTGTCAGTGTTTGACTGGCACAGACCCAGTACATATCACCACTGCTTTCACTTAAACATTATCTCCCACACTTTTGGAACTTGAGGAAGAGCCACTTTTTTTTTCCTGAAAATGGGGAGTTGACCTTAATATTTCAAATCTCCAGAGTGTTTCCAATATCGTCATTCTTTCCTACCGACACTGATTTTCATTCATTTTGATTTGTTCACATCAGGCCATTTGACACTTAGGTTGGCAACAAGAAAATGTAACAGAACTCACTGAGTGTTGCAGTGTTTAAAAGAGCAGGATATCCCCACCTTAGAGCCAGCAGGGTTGTCCAGTTAACCTACCATCCTTGGAATACTGCCTCACCCTGCAGACTCAGCTCACACCTCAGACCTTTCCCAGGGTGCAGGAGTTTCTCTGTCAGCCTCCTGGGGAGATTGATGGCAGCTCCAACCTAGCTCTGCTTTCTCTTTCTGTCTCTGGCTGTGACACTAAAGAAGGGTCTATACTGCTACCACCCTGAATTTTTCCAAGCCCACCACTTTTTTTTTTAAACTAACATTGAGTGCTTAAAACATCTAAGTCACCAAGCTAAGTGGTTTATCTAGACTATTTCACTTAATCTTACTACCACCATGAGTTAGGCACTATTATTATTCCCATTTTACAGAAGAAGAAACTAAGACACAGATTAAGTAATGTGCCCAGGGTCACATCGTTAGAATTCAAGTCACGAGTCCTGGTGTGCTGATGCAAAGCACATCGGTCTCAATCACTCCAGTGCATTGCCTTCCCTATGAAGTTCTGCCTCCTGCTGCCCTAATTTGTAGGGTCTTCCAGACTTTGATGTTATTGGGATGTATTTAACTGGATGGCAAAGCCCGTGTTCCAAGCAAAGAAGAATTTCTCTGTATGGCACAAAAGCCACACTTGCTGTTCTGAAAGTTGACTCATGAATGAATCCACATTTTCATTTCCCCCTCCCCTTTCATCGGGGAATGACTTACTCAGAGCAGGTCTGAGGAAAGCTGGCAAATAGCCCTTCCAGGCCTCTCTCCACTGCTCTTGCTTCAAGTCAGCATAGCCCTGAGTACTGTTCCTGCCTCTTCCTGCCTTCCCCACAATGACCTATCAAAGAAGTCTGTGACTGAAGCTCTTAAGTTATGTCTAGTGGAGTTGTTGATTTCTTTCTGTTTTTCAGATTATACCCCACCTAGCCTCCTTATAGCAGACCTAGCTGGGCCCATTTGGCTTCAGATATAGGCTCAAAAAGGATTTGGAGGTAGTGTCTGGGAGAGGATCTGGGTGTGCCCAGATTCCCAAAACCTCACTATTTACCAATAATTGACCCATTAATTGGATCAGCCAGGGCCAGCCCTGTATTTTCTGGCTCAGAGTTCTGCTCGGGATTTTACTTTCTGAAGGCACTTCCCTGGGTCCTCTCAAGTGCTATTTTCCAGATGCTTCCTGACCTCCAAGGGAAGGTCCGGAGTCTGTCACTCTCCTGGGACTTCTTCCAAAAATAAAATATGAAATTCCTGGGGACTAAGGGGTGTTTTAGAGGGCTGTGGCATCTGTTAGAACTCTTGTCTAAAAAGGGAAAATCGTAATTTGAACTGTAACCCCTCACTTTTTTTGTATCTTCTAAAGCAGTGATTCTCAAAGTGCAGCCTCTGGACCAAGAGCTTTCGCATATCCCCTTGGAAATTGTTAGAAGTGCAAATTCTTGGGTCTCACTTTAGACTGAACTGAATCAGAACCTGCTGGCACCCAACAATCCCTGCTGCAAAAAGCCCTCCCGATGATTCTAATGCACACTGAAGTGTGAGAACCACTGCCCACTAAAGCAGAGGTTCTTTATGTCTTTTGGAGTCTTAGGTTTGGGAATCTGATGAAAGGTTGGTGCCTTCTCAGCTGCTTTGCAGACACCCTGGGCTCCAAATTAAGAATCCCTGCTCCGGAACTTAGAGTTTATCCATCCCTCTTCAACTTCCACTGTCTCAACACCACCTTGAGAAGAAGTGGCCCCAAACTCCCTATTGGTCCTTTCACCTGTATTGTCTGTTGTCACTGAGAGTGCAATGTCTGTGCACCAGACAGTGAAGGGTAAAGGGCTTGCTGCTCCCTGTATGTGTCGTACCTGTAGCCCATGGCCTCTTCCAAAAACCAGTGCTCAAGAATGAGACGCCTTTCCAGGAGCATGGGACCAAAGAGAAAAGAGATTCCTTCTCCTAGACCTGGGAGCTCTATGTCAGGGCACAGCTGCTATAAAACATGTGGGACTTCCTGTGTCAGGCCTGGCTGGGGCTTGTTGGCTGCAGCTAGAGCTTTGTCAGTGGCAAGTCCTGGTCATGCCGGTTGTCCCTGATTGTAGCACCCCATTTGCCTGCACAAGTATCCTGGTTTAGACCAGAAATTTTATTGGCACCGATTTTCTCACCTAACAGCCTCCACATTTGTTTTCTTACTGCCACTCTTGCCCCTGGAATCCATTCTCCACACAGCAGCTGGCTTATAACTATGGTCACAAGGCCCTTATGATCCAGTCCCTGCCTAACTTGCCAGGTTTCTCTTCCTTTCACCTCCTTATTCACTTCTCCAAAGCCATTCTGGTCATCTTTCTGTATCTTGACCGCACAGAGCTTAACGGTATCTAAGAGTCTTTGTCTTCACTCTTCCCTCTGCCTGGAACATAATTCCCTCCAGAGCCTCACACCGCTGGCCCTTCTTTCATCATCAGGCCTCAGCTTTCCTGTCCTCCATTCTAGGAGGCCTCCTCTGACAACCCAAAGTGAAGTGACCCTGCTCATCACTCTACCTCACAGCTGTTTCAGTTTTCTTCTAGTGCTTATCACTGGCCAAAATTGCCTTTTCTGTCTTTTACTGCCAGTGGGCTAATGTTGTGAGTGTAGGACTCACTAAGGCATCCCCCGGGCCCAGACAAGTCTGGCACATAGAAGACACTCAACAAACATCTGGCAGCTAAATGACTGGACTCCAGTGAGTCCAGGTCATTTCTGGGAGCCAGCTGTGCCTCTGGGTCTTTTATTTCTGTTCCTTGGCCCTTCCTCCCAGTCTTTAAAATGGGAGTGGTAACAACTAAACCCCTTACTCCCCAGCAATTTTCCAGG